GAAGATTAGTACGGCGCATAATTTTGTTGACAAGTAACAATCAATTTCCAGTTGAATTTGGAAATTTGTTACGTAGAAGTAGAGATACCCTAAAAAATGTACTTTGAAGACAAATTTCAGAGGTTGTTTTCACCCCTTTAAAACATTTATCATAATATAAAATTCATCTCTTGTTTTTCTGAAAATTTATAATCGACTGAAATTCCATTGAAATCTACGGTGCTTTACTCAAATACGAATGAAAATTACCTCAGGATAATTTACCCCCTATACTGTATATAAACAAAAAAAAGCCGAAACACGTCAACTTTAGTTTTTAATGTTCTTTAGGACAATATAAGTTTCGTTGACCTTGGATTGAATTTGTATTTTTCCAAGACAAAAATTCAAGAAAAAAATATCTTTTGCCCTCTTGAAAAATAAGGGATGCTTTCCCTGCGGACCTTGGTGTGCTGTATGATATTGTTATTCAGTAACAAACATTTACCAAGAGTTTTCAGAAAGAAATCTTGAATAGGAAAGGAGATATACTGAAAAAACGGTTTTTGAAATCGAACTTTGGGGGTAGATTTCACCCCTTTAAACTGTTTATTAGCAGATAAAAAAATACGTGTCGCTTATTTTTTAGTCCTCTACAACATATCACAGTTTCGTTGGAATCGGTTTCACACATTTCCCTTATTTTCCTTGTCAGTATCAATTCTATCTAACTCGTTTTGCAACGAGAGGACCGAGTGATATGGAATCGGGAAACGTGAATTATAGAAAGGTTACTATTGGAAAATGCTTAATTTTAATAATTAAATATTTTTTTTACTTACTTATTATAAAAACTTAATATAAAAACCTTATGCACAATTTCAAATGAAAAACAAAACTTATTAATTGAGCCTTGCACGGTCACAATTTATAAATATAATTTACTCGACGTCGGAAAACTTCTTAGTCTTTGACACTATGTGATGGAGAAAGGGTTAGCTTGATTATCGTGGCAGTCCTCGTTACGGATGGCGTGGTAGTGCCACACAGTTCACCCGTGATTTAGTACAATTCCTTGGGATGCGCTCTTTTTCGTAAAAAGGCCACGAGAAGCTGAAGGATTTAGGCATGAAAACTCCAAAAGTAATGTATGGAAATTTTCCCGCAAAAGTGAGAGATACTGCAGAGTGCACTTTTCTCTTGAGTTTTCCAACACCGATAGAGTTACTCATGCCAAATCGAGTGCAAAATAAACGTTATTATTTAAATTCTAACGTGTAAGGTTCTTTACATTTTTTTTTGATAACTTAACTATTTATTATTAACATTATATAGATAAATAACAATCTGAAAGTTATGTTTTAAATCTCAAATGTTTTTTGTTTATATTTTAAAATCTAACTTAGAATAAATTTGTTTTCGCCTTTCGAACAGGTTAATTAGAGTTGACAAATAATTTATAATTTTTATTGTAGAAATTTTATTTAGTACTAAACAGAAAAATGAAATCTTGTAAGGAAACGTTTAAGAAAGGTTTTATCTTTCTTCATCTCCCTGCATTCCCGAATAGGGTTTGAGAATCGGCTGACCATATTATTAACACAAGAATGCCCTAAGTAAATGGACGCGCAAAACAAAGTAGTAAATCTTTCTTTCTTTTATAGCTATGTTTCCAAATGGTTGGTTAATTGGTCAGCTTGTCCTCTCTAGGAATCAGAGTAAATCTTGAGAAGAGAAACTTTCCAAGTATTTTCGCTTTCCAATAACATTCCAAACTTTGTACAACTTGGTGCGCTTTTACTGCAGTATAAGTTAAAATAAAATACAATATTATTATTAGTTATCCGGCGTTACAGTCCTACTATTATATATCTTGTAAAAGACAGTCAATTTTTTTACAATAAAATTTACCCGCGACTCTATTTACTAATTATTTATGCGGGGATTTGGAAGGCAGAAAATGCTCCAGCTACTGAACAACCTGTCGGGCATACAAGTTGAGGCGTTCGCGCGTGACAGAGCCTTAAACAGTAAGAAGAAATAACTTAAAATTCAATTACATAACTTACAAAAATCCGAAACCGTCTCTTTATTAACAATAACAATAAAATTATATATATAAAGAGAACAAAAGAAATTACAAACAAATAAGTAAAAATAAAGAATCGCAATATAAATAAGTCTTCGGGGCGAAGCGGTGTTCCCGGAGAGGTGTTACGTTGCGAAACGGCAATCCTGCACGGCAGACAATGATGAACCTCCTCGGCAGACTTGGACAAACAAAAGTCGCTCAGCGGTTACAATCCTGCGCATCGCGGAGCACCCGATTGTCAGGAGTCCACGACACCACAACTATCATGCGTGCATTAGAGCTAATTCTTGAGGAGCGGAAAGAGAGAAGACAGTCTACACTGTGTCAGTTACCCCAGCTGTCACACCTTTTCACCTCTCCCGGTCCAGCCTACAAATTAATCCAAAAAAAATATTTAGACATGTAAACCTATAGTTTTTTAATTGTCTAATTCAATTGCGATATTTATTTTCTTTGCCCTCTTTCACTTTACTTACAAAAATTAATAATTATATCCGATATCACTGCAAACTTCAAGCGTCAATATCTCGATAATTAAGTAATACTTCTTAATTCCTGAAAATGCAAAAAATTTCTCTTGAGATAATTTAATTTGTCCAGTCGATTGCAATGACAATTCATCAATTTTTCATGTGACAATTATTAACTAGCAATAACATTTATACGATTCTGGTATTGCGCAGGCGCAATCAAATCAAGTCTGTATCGTAACGGAAATATTTGATAACGCCGTTATTTTTCATATCATATTGGATGATATTTTTTATCAGAGAAACCAATGCCTAAATATGTAGCTATTAAATTATAATTATTCTAATTCTATAAAATTAGAACATTAATTAACCTCATATGTTACTGTCCAATGAAACTTCTGTAATAATTTTCAAGTCAAATAAAATGACCTTTATTGTAGTGGAAGAAATAGTTAAAAATCGTTTACATATAATAAGGAAAAATATTTTATGATTAGTTACTTTTTATTATAGGTAATCGTGGCATTATCAAATTCGATGAGATACCCCTAATTTGATTGCGCATGCGCAATGCGCGAATCGTACACATACTTTAGTTTTTTATATTTTTCATATGAAAAATTGATGAATTGTCATTGCAATCGACTGGGCAAATTAAATCATTGCAAGGACAATTTTTGCATTTTCAGGAATTAAGAAGTATTATTTAATTATCGAGATATTGACGCTTGAAGTTTGCAGTGATACCGGATATAATTATTAATTTTTGTAAGTAAAGTGAAAGTGGGCAAATAAAATAAATAACGCAGTTGAATTGGGCAATTAAAAAACTAAAGGTTTACACATTTAAATATTTTTTTTTGCATTAATTTGCAGGCTGGACCGGGGGAGGTCACTTTTTCCTCTAATCGGCTCGGGCGTCGGCTGTGCTGCAGTCGCAGGGACGATCCAGCTCACCAAATCACCAGTCAACAAAACCAAAACAAAAATTTCTGCAGTAATCTGTGGTGCACATCGAATTCTCATCAGTTCTCTGTGCTGGTACGAACGGTACCTTCCTGAGCTGAATCCTGACGTACACCCAACGTGGATTGAATCGCGACCCCCCCAGTTAGGTTGGTATGAGACTATGAGTGCTACTTTCAGTCCGTAACGGTGGTTTTCAGATCGGCCATAGTATAGCGCTCGTTCTTAAATTATATAATTAAAACCTAAAATCAAATAATCATGCATCTAAATTCATTGTTCGGCAAACAATTAATTTTAAACCTAAAAACAAATTAGTAACGTTTTAGCTTTTTATCGTATCTTAAAACGAATTTTCATTTTTGAATTTTCCCGCGGTTTCTTCGTTCAATGCAACGACAGAATTCTCATACCAACCTAACTGGGGGGGTCGCGATTCAATCCACGTTGGGTGTACAACTCTTCTCGTCTAGCAACGATGAAAACCTGAGCCAAATCTTCACGTACAATAACCCCTGTTCCTTATTCTTATAAATATTTTCTCTCCTCCCCTTCCGCATGCCTCTTTACCTCCACATCCTGCCGAAAGCTGGCAGCACTAATCCTCCCTAAGCTCAAAGCTGCTAATTTGCCACCTCGAATCATATAAACCGGGCATTAATAATGCGCTAACGCAATTACATCAATGCCCGGCTTAACGACAGTGCACGCAGACAGTGAGAGGCCAGGGAAGACAGGGAAATCGCTACTAAGCGGTTTTCCCATCACACTCTAACCAATGGAAAATACAAATAATGATGATGTTAATTATTATATAAAATATGGTTGCAATCTTATCAATGTGCTAGCTTGTGCTGAATCGAAGCGCGCACGCGTAAACATATGTACACAGTTAGCATACCGGCGCTCGGGAAATCGTTTTTGAGATTTCATGATGATAGCGGTAACTAAATTATGAATATCCATAATACTTCATCAATTTTTACAATAAATGTTTACTTAAAAAAGCGAAAAAACAGGTATTTTTGCACTAAATTGTTAATATAAAAAAATGACCGACTTTTGAACTTGGCAACAGAAAAATTCGTGATCAGCGTACCAAAAAACAACGTAACACCAAGTTGTTAAGGGACTTCGAAGTGTACACGGGAACCCAACCCGAACCTCCGAACGATCGGACTATACACAAAATCTTACTGTCTCTCTCTCTCTCTCTCTCTCTCTCTCTCTCTCTCTCTCTCTCTCTCTCTCTCTCTCTCTCTCTCTCTCTCTCTCTCTCTCTCTCTCTCTCTCTCTCTCTCACTCTCTCTCTTCCTCTCCTTACGAGGGATAATCGTTTGAAGCTACTAGCAGCAGTGTATTTATTTCGAGGTGAATAAATAGCCTAAATCGGTAGATAATAACTCCAAAAGTAATTAGGTATTTCTCGCCGAAATTCATGAACGACGCCTTCTATGATGAGCATCTTGCTTTGTCATTATTTTACGTACGTTTTCAAGTATGCGGAGCAGTGAATATTTCTCCATTGAAGGTCAAGGCGATGGTAATCCTCACATCGTGGATGATGAACAAGCAAAAACCAGAATTAGAGGCGGAAATAAACTAATACTTATCCACTCCCCCATGCCGGTACACTACATAACATAAATTGAATCTAGTTACCATGACAGAAAAGAAAAATGGTAAAAAATAAAAAATGTTTGTCGTATTTCGTACAATAATTTAAGATGATTCTAGATCGAATAAATAATCCTTTTAGTTTAAATGATAATAAATTTAGATAGCATTCATATTTATGTTTATATCTATTTTTTGTGTTTCATACATTGATATATAATAAACTAAATTAAACCTGTTTAATATACAATAATAATATGCACTAATGCTTGCTCTATAATTAAAAAATATCCAATTAATATATTATCTATATATGTAGTGTTACATATTGCTTACTAGACACTGAAGTAAGCATGGGAATAGATAGAGCTAAATTAAATAACTTACGTATGAAAAAGGAGTTCAAGTTACACTTTTTCCTGAGTAAAATATGTAGAAATATATATTTTAATCATTTTTAATTAATTATTGTGGAATGAATGTGTATCATTATTATTATGTCTTAGAGTGATTGATTAATGTTAGATATATATAAAATTGATTTTTAAGGTACATATTATATACCTTAATTTAAAAGTAACATAGTTATTTATAATACCTAACTGTTTTTGGTTGATGCAAATAATATACCAATCATTCAAATTCAATCATTGTAGAATATTATTACAAAATGATGTAGATTATAAAATAAATAAATAATTATATTCACAAAAATTAAGTTAATTTGTATAAATTAATCTTTTTCCTACTCCCATTGCAGTGTACTTTAATCATAAGATTACATATACATACAGTCAAATCATGAAATTATATGATCTTATACATTAATTGGAGTATACTTTACTACAAGCATGGAGACGACAAGATAAATCAAAATAATTTTTACCAAATTATAAACAAAATGGTTTGGTAAAGCCGAAAACAGACTATGATATTTTTAGATTTATAAATGAATAAACTAATTAAAATCAGTTTTGATGGCTGTAAATAATAGTAATAATGATGTATAATGGTTGTACTATTTAAAAAATTAAAAAACAATAAATTAAAAAATCAAATAGTATAAGATAATAATAATATAAGAAATAATAATATAAAACCAAATAATTTTTTTTTAAATTCACATACAATAAATTAGTGTGATAATATAACTATTATCAAACTTTATTACATTTGAAGACGTATAAACACAATTAAGTAGTCCAGATAATTCCATATCACAAAGATAATTTCAAAATTTCTGATCATATTATATTAGTATGATTAAAGAAGAAATTATTTTTAACTTAAATATAATAAATAACAATTAAAAATATAATTAATGTATGAGAAAGGAATACATTTATTGTTAGTAACAAATGCATATATTTCAACAAATAATATACTATATGGCATAATACTTACTCTAATAAAAACATTTTTAATTAAGGTCATTCGTGACATCATTCGAAATGTCGTCATATTTTATGATTAATGTGCTCGTTATTATCTATTCTAATATTTTTCAAATACGAAAAGATAAATTTATTTGTTATTAACAAATTCTCCAGTTAAAAATTTTACTTATGTAGTGTTTCGTTACTATTAACATATGCTCTGACAATAACCTAGTTCCTTTTGATTTATTTCCATGAATTATGAATTATTATAAAACTATGAAAAATTCATTAAATTTATTTATTTAAGAACCAAATAACCATTTAACATAACAGAATATTTAGGATATATATCTATATATAATTAAAAAAATGATGCAGTATGAAAACGCATGCGAATTGGCTCAAAGCTGAGGCAGCACCCGGCATCTAAAACAGAAAAATGGCGATTCCTTATTTAGTCAAAAAGACTACTTATTTTATTTACGTCCGTGCCTTTCAAACATACATTTCCATAATTCAAATTAACGGTATAGAATATTAGCTGTCACACAAAAAAATGTTTCAGTTTGATTAATGTAGTTTTGAGAAAATTATTCAAGAAAGAAATTTCGATGTTAGTTTTATTCTTTTTTTCATTACTAACAATTCTTCTCATACACGTAGTATATATTTGAAGTAACATGTATAATACGTTAGTAAATCTTTGCTATTTCACAATACTTTGGTGACTTCTAGCAGTCAAACGTATGCGTCAATAGTATTAAAAAAATTATCCGAGAAAGTGCAAAATTATGTGTATAAATAATTATTTAGTATACATGATTCTTTCTAATATTAGTTAAAATCGATTAGCTAAAATTGAAAATATTTAAATCGATATTAATATGAAATTTCAATTTAAAATGCGCCGTATAAGCGCTGCGTGACATGTTTCTCCATTTCTTTTAAAAACAAACTCATATCAATTTGTTTTTTTTTTTTTCACTTATAACCTTCGAGCATATACTACTAGAGGTAGCCCGCAGGGCTGCTGAACCCTCATCGGGTATAGAAAAAGATAGCGCGATTACCTGGATAGGCTATCTTTCTCATACCGCACACTAATTGACTGAGTACGCTCCCCGCCTTTAGTCGTATATGAGTTATTCTTAGCTATTTCGATTGACTATAACCCTTAGGTTACGGATTTTTTAAAATTTGGCACAATTATTTTACACATGAGATTGATATTTTTCCCAAATTTTGATGAGGATACATTAATTATATCAAAAGTTATTAACAAATAAAGAAAAATGATAAAAAATTTTCAAACGGCTATATTTTAAAAACTAATAAAGATATCGAAGTCGGATTTTTTCCGAATTACTTATAATACCTTGAACTTTCGAAATAATTACAAAAATAAACCATAAAAATTTTTTTTCAAAAGTTATTAACTTTTTGTTTAATCAATCGCTAATATCTCAAAAAGTATATTCTTTTTTGAAAAATTCTTGTTCCTGCGTGTTCCTGAGGATTTTTACTATCGAAATTAATCATAAAATTCAAGGATCCGACATATCGGAAGGCGTAGCCCTAATTAGAAGAAAACGTCTCAGCGTAAGACCACGAAGACGTCCCGCTGCCGTTGCGACGTTCACCGAGGCATCTTCTTTTGATCAGGGTTACGCCTTCCGATATGTCGGGCCGTTAAATTTTATGACTTCGATATCTTTATTAGTTTTTAAAATATAGCTGTTTTAAAATTTTTTATCATTTTTCTTAAATTGTTAATAACTTTTGATATAATTAATGTATCGTCATCAAAATTTGGGAAAAATCTCACTTTCATGTGTACAAAAATTGTGCCAAATTAAAAAAAAATCCGTAACCTAAGGGTTATAAGTCAATCGAAATAGCCAAGAATAACCTGTATACGGCTAATGGCGGGGAGCGCACTCAGCCAATCAGTATGCGGTGCGAGAGAGATAGCCTATCCGGGTAATCGCGCTATCTCTTTCTATACCCGATGACGGTTCGGCAGCCCTGCGGGCTGCCTCTAGTAGTATATGCTCGAAAATTCCCACACAGCACCGAAAGTTGCAGCAAGGTTGCTGTAAGGTTTCATGAAATGTTTTAAACTTTTCTGCAAGCTTTCATTGCAATATTGTTGAAACATTATGTCCGTGCAACTGAGCCCCCGGAAATATTTCATGAAATATTGTGGCATGTATTTTATGAAAAATTTGGGGAATATTCCATAAAATATTCGTACAACCTTGTAACAAACCTTACAGAAACATTGCAATAAATGTTCCAGCAATGTTTCGTGGTATGTGCATGCAACCTTTAATCGAAACATTGCTGAAACATTGATATGTCCGTGCAACTGAGCCCCCGGAAATATTTCATGAAATATTGTGGCATGTCTTTTATGAAAAATTTGGGGAACATCTCATGAAATATTCATACAACTTTGCAACAAACCTTACAGAAATATTGCAATGAATGTTCCAGCAATGTTTCGTGGTATATGCATCAAACCTTTTATCAAAACATTGCTGAAACATTGATATGTCCGTGCATCTGAGTCCCCAGGAACAAAATATTCATAAAATATTCATAAAATATTCAGGCAAGTTTTCATGAAAAATTTGTGAAATACTTCAGGAAACATTGCAGGAACTTTCCAGGCAATGTTACGTTAAACTCTCTGGCAATGTTTGTGCGGTATTGGTTGGAAGATTTAAGAAATTTTCCGAGCAACTTTACGTAAAACTCTCTGGCAATGTTTCTGCGGTATTGGTTGTAATATTTAAGTAATTTTGGGAACAATTTTACGTTAAACTTTCTGGCAATGTTTCTGCGGTGTTGGTTAGAAGATTTAAGCAGTTTTCCGAGCAATTTTACGTAAAACTTTCTGGCAATGTTTTTGCGGTATTGGTTGGAATATTTAAGCAATTTTGGGAGCAATTTTACGTTAAACTTTCTGGCAATGTTTCTGCGGTGTTGGTTGGAAGATTTAAGCAATTTTTGGAGCAATTTTACGTTAAACTCTCTGGTAATTTTTGTGCGGTATTGGTTGGAAGATTCAAGCAATTTTCCGAGCAATTTTACGTAAAACTTTCTGGCAATGTTTCTGCGGTATTGGTTGTAATATTTAAGTAATTTTGGGAACAATTTTACGTTAAACTTTCTGGCAATGTTTCTGCGGTGTTGGTTAGAAGATTTAAGCAGTTTTCCGAGCAATTTTACGTAAAAATTTCTAGCAATGATTCTACGGTTTTGGTTGGAATATTTAAGCAATTTTCGGAGCAATATCACGTAACGTTTTATGGCAATGTTTTCTGCGGTTCTCGTTGCAAGATTATTCGAATATTCTCAATTAAGTCTTTTTCAATTTATTTGAGCAATATTATAAAATTTTTCTAACAGTATTCTTCGGTCCTTAGTTGATTGACAAGTGGTCATTCAAAAAACATTGCCATAAAATATATCATAAATTTTCATAGTAATATTGCTTGTAACTTTTCGTGATTTGGTATAGAAATATTTTAATGTATTATAGATATTGATAGAAAAGAATATATAATTTCTAAAAAAAGTGAGGAATGTACTATACCTTGAAATTTTAAAATCATATTGATATTGGTCAATTTGTCAAGTTTTACATTCGATTTTATTGATTCACAATTTCAAATACAATGGAAACGGTGTTTGATTATTGATATGAATTGACATCTTTCAGTCTAACGTATTTGAAGTAATGATTTATGTTTAAATGTGTTATAAGTATTATTTCTTATTATTGTATTCTTAGAGTTCCTAGTTGTAAGTTTATAGTATCATTTTATTATTATCTCCTTAGATATTGACATCTTCTCCCTCAGATTCTTCATCCAATAAATCAAGTTGCAATGGCTTAAATGGCTCCGATTTGCGATTCGGTTTCCTGCAATATTTTGTGAACAATTAGTATTTTACTCTATATACACTTCTTTAATTATTTAAATTAATTATGATAAAACACATACGATTGGTTACGCTTGAGCCTTGTTCCAGCATGGTCCAAAAAACTAGATAACGATTTTTTGATATCTTCGTCCGTAGCGGTCGGGAAAGACTTTTTTGCAGCCGCTAAATTTATGACATAAAACGAGATTTTAAATAATGAATATTAATGGGTATGAGAATATTATATGTTTAGAAAAAACTTACTATAAATGAAGTTGCAGATATTAAGCTTAGAAAAACATTTGTTCTTAACTTCGTCTTTAGACTTTCGCCCATAAAAGCTATAGTTCTGTAGAACTTCATCAGTGATAATTTTTGGCATCATATTATGGATGAGGTCATGAGCATTCACACCTCCTACTCCTTGAAGATACTTAATCTGAAATATTCAACAAAGTACAACATCTACATGAGTAATATAAAACTAATTTTATTTATAAACCTTTTAATAATAAATCGTAAGCCAATAATTAACCATTCACTTTAATAAATATATTTTCAAAAATATTGATGAAGCAGGTATTGGACGCTGCATATTGTGACCGTGGACAAGAAAGTGATCATATGTGAGAGAGAAAGAAGAAAGGAGGCACAATAAGGAGAATACAAAGTGTAAAGACTGAAATTTGCAGACGATACGAGTATGTACTAACTGTAGACACGCCTAGGAGTCTACAGAAAATGCCGAAAAGTACGGAAAGGTAAAATAGAAGAAACGGGATGGAGATGAATGGGAAAAAACTATAGCGATAATAGTCAGAAGAGAGGGCAAATTGGAGAGAAGAGTTATTGAAGTTGTTACTAAATATAGTACTATAGAAAGAAAATGGAAATAGTGAACAAGTACAAGTACTAAAGATTGAGTACACTTCATTCAGAAATAAAAATATTAATATAATGATGAAACAAGCTATAAGATGCAGTGTAGAAAAAAGATTTTAAATCTCGTGAATAGCAATAAAAAAAAATTACGCGCATGCACATGCACACTCTTATAATATAAAAAATTACGATGACAAAGTAGGAATTTTGCCATCACATCATTTTTATAAGGACTGAAAAGATATAAATTCATTCTTTTCCATACCAGTCAAAAATACTCCAATATAACTATAGTACTTTATCAATTAATCTCCGGATACCTAATCCTATAACATGATATATAGAGAAGCTATATAGTTGTTCATATATTTTGGGCTATATTACGTTGTATTACATCGAGAAACAAGTGAAAATGGAAGCGGAAGAGTCTTACGACGGCTTCCTTATCGATTCCAGACTTGATATGACATGAATAGCGCCAAATATACTTCAGTTTTAGCACTCTTAAGCTGATTTTCAACTTCTATCAAATCATGATAAAATATCTTAGATCATAAATATAGACAATTTCATTTTAAAAGGATATTGACATTATATATTTTATAATATAAATAAAAAATATAAAATTACAATAAATCTTTGAGAAAAATACTTATTTAAAATACTTTATTATTTAAGTATCTTTGGAATCAAAGTTTTAAAGAAATGTCAATTTAGTTTTAGAAATCTTATCTAAAAACTCCCTTTTGAAGGGCATTATTGAAAAACTACATAAATGTTCACGTAAAAAGCTACTAGCGAGCGCCGAAACTGAAAGTAATTTCAAAGTTTACCAGACAGCAAGTAGCAGATATAAGGCATGCATTTGTTGACTAACAAAAAAATGAAATATCATTTAAATATATTGTTAATAGATGAGACACCGCTTACCAACACCACCTATAAATGTAATATGTTTGAATAAATGTGAAAAATGAAGATGTTAGAAAATGAAAATAAAATTCTGCTTGTGATATTGATTGAAACCAATTCAAATCTTCCACACTGTGTAACCATATATACTGTGCAAATATCAACTATATTTTAAAAACTTACAATAAACAGTAT